AAAGGGGTTTCTCTAATTATATGCCCAGTGCATTATGAATGTTTAAAAATAAGTTTTGTGAATTTGTAAAACTTTGAATTTGTAAATTTATTTTTAGTGTAGGAATTTTTGCGCTCTATTCTGTGAAATGAACAGTTATAGCTTCAAAAGGTGTAACAAGTTTTTCAAAGACTCCATGGTGTCGATTTGACAATTATATTAACAATATACTACAAAGTGCTTTCAAAAAGCATTTTTACAAAGACTAAAATCTATTAATACACCACAAATGCTTTTCAATTTCAAAACATGTACAAATAGGACTTAAACAGCTAATAAAAAATGTGCATCAAAAATCTTTTACATCAATGGCCAAAATCTGGGAAAAAAAGTATAGTTATTTCCTCATAAATAATCAAGGGAAAATGGCACTTCTTCCCCCTAAGTTATATACTTATAGCACTTTCTCCCCCTGAATTATTTAAGTGGCTGTTTTTCCCCCTGAAATGTTAAATGGACATACTTACCCTTAAAATAAATATTTAAAATAAATATTTAATTTATTTTCCTTCTCTAACAAATTATGACAATAATTTGGTTCAAACCAAACAAACACTATAGCAACCAAACCGAAATATTCCAATTACAATTTAGAATCGAAACTCGATATTTATAGTTTATTAAAATCGCGAACCGAAACGGACGATTCATGTACCGAACTGAAAAAATAAAATACATTTATTGTTGAATTTAGACTATTTAAAATAAAAAATAAAATTTTAAAATAAAGACGGTTCAAAATCCCGAACCGGATCCAGAACCGCCGATTCACGGTTCAAGATCCAATTTTTTTTATTCATAATTTTAATGAATTGAAATCCAAATATTAGGTTCTAGATCTTAATCATAACTGGAAACTTTTAATTCAATTGCTATAGTGTCCGGTTCAGTTTGATCTGAACCGTGGTCATCCCTACGTATACGCGATAATTTGTTGGAGAAGTAAAATAAATAAAATGTTTACTTTAAGGGTAGAAATGTCAATTTAATATATCAGGGGGAAAAATTACCACTTTTAAAAAAATTGAGGGGGCTAATGTGCTTACCTAAATAATTGAGGGGGAAAAATGACTATAAGTATATAACTCAGGGGAAAAAAGTGCCATTTTCCCAATAATCAATAAAAAATATACCTCATTCTATAGGCATACAAGAACATTAATCGAATTAAAGAGCAGACACAAAATTAATGAAAAAAATTGCAATGTGATGCACCAATAATCGAATTTCGCTAATTTACCAAATAGAACAAATTTTTAAATAAAGCATAAATCAGAACACTTGTATTTTTTTTTTTTTTTGAAATCGTGTATTTAATAACCAAACTAAATATTATAGAGTGTATTCATTTTCTGTTTTCATATGATGAGGCCCGTCTAATAAGCTGAATTAGCCTGCTACTAACAGAAAACAAATAACAATTCAAAACACAATTTGGCATCAAAATTCACTATCATCATTTGCCATATTATGGCATCAAACAAAGTAGTAATCTCCTAACGAAATTTATGAGTACTTGAAAATTTGGGAATCCAGGTATTTAAGTAACAGATGAAGTAGCTCACACTTTAATATACTCAATCCCTTATATGAGGCCTAGCTAAACACGTACAAGAAGTTTACTAATAAAAAATTTAAAGCAAAACAATAGCATCAGAATTGTGAATCATCATTTGCCAAATTCTGGGAACAAAAAAGTTAGTAATCTCATTCAAAAATGAAAAGTAGGACAATATTGGGAATCCATGTATTTAATGAGCAGATAAAGTAGCACACACTAATAGCAATTTCAAGAAAAATTGAACAGTTATACTATAATTACTCAACATGAAATAAGACAACTAAAATTCACACAACTCATACTTCATATATATCAAAGACATGCTATCAGAGTGGTGATTACACACATTTTCAGAGCAATGAGGCAAATTAAAACTTCTACGGCACAAAGAGGAAGCATTTGATTGACCAAAAAGGTACAAAAAAGTTAAATTCTTACTTGACTTTTGCTTTTTATACTTTCCACAACTTACAGTTTACTTCATACACCTTGAAATGTTGCACCCTACACCTTCTGTCCCTGCAAAACAGATTTCTGTAACAAATCAGTAGATATTCACAATCATATCTTAACCATGTATCTAACAATTACACATGATGAATAAGTCTTAAAATGCGATCTCTAAAATAAACGCAGAATGCACTTCAGATATATAGTGTAAGCTATCAATTATGAAATTATAACGATGTCTTAGATCAATGCAATAAAATCTGTACAAATCATCAAACAGAAGCATAAACCATAAGAAATTCTAAAAAAATGGTAGATTTACTTAGCTCATATGTTGTTTCTGAAATTAGGGTTTTGGACGATCATCTCGAACTCATCAAAGCAGAACAATCGAAGCTAGGAAACATGTTATGGTTACGATAGAAGAAAACCCTAGCTTCAAAAATAGAATAAACCTATTTTATCGACTGGTTATACAAATAAAGAGGTAAATACCATGATGGTAAATACCCTGATTGTTACGATAGAAGAAAACCCAAGCCGGGCACAAAGAATGCAAAAGTAAGTTGAAGGAAACAAACAGATGGCTTCAAGGCTTACGAATCCATCTTTGGTTTGTACTCCCTCGCACTATAACCAAAATATAACTCGCAAAACACCCTTGAAGCCATCTATATACTATAGAGGACATGCTTTGTGCCAAGCTTTTGGATAGAGTGAGAGATGGGCAGAGGAGTGCGAGAGAGGTGGAGGAAGGCGAGAGAGGTGAAAGGATTGTAGAGAGAGGCGGAGGAATGCGAAGGGTGGGGTAGGGTAGAATTTATATTCCGGTTTAGTGGGTCGGGTAAGTAGGGCGGGTAGTTTGAAGGCGTTTGGGTTAGTATTGTGTTTTGACTAAGCTTTGGCCTTACTTTTACCACTTTTATTTAGTAGAATGGTCTAATTAATTATTTGTTGTGTAATAGATTAATAGGATATTGGTAGGATATATCCCGACCGACATGGGTTGGGATTTTCTTGTTGTTTGTGCGGGATCTTTGGGTCGGGCTTCATTTAGCCAGAGCGGTCGGACCCGACCGCTAGACTGCCCGACCGATATCTTTTCCCGGTCATCATGCCTTCACCTTATGAAGAGACGAAGAGGATGAAGAGAGGCACGTGGCAGTGCTATGCGTTGACAGAGAGGGCTCACCGGGTGAAGACGCGTGGAGGCTACGTGGGTTACATGCCGGTAGGCCGGAAGTTTGTCTCCGGCCAAAGGCTATAAGTACCCACGGCGGCTATAGTGAGGGGGACTTTTGGACGATCAATATGTTATTTACAGAGCTGCCCGACTGCAGTTAGTCGGCCCTCAGAATAACCATCTAGATTGTACTAGGACCACTTTTGATCAATAAAATTCCCCTTTACTACTATTATTTAGTCTCATTCAGTACTTTGACTGCACTACGTTATTTGTACTATCATTTTGGCACCGTCTGTGGGGACCCGGTACAAAAAGCTATTGTAGACGAGTACCAGATCCCGATCATCACCATGTTTCCGTTCATGTACCAAGCACCGGAGGATGAGGAAGCAAGTTCATCCGACCACGCTTACACTCAACACCAGGGTCAGACAGTTGACCGCAATCTCAACCTTTCACCTCTTCTATCGGCAGCTCCCAACCCGATCAATTATATTCAACCGGCGTATCCAACGCCCGATCAGCAGTATCCGTTCCCAGTGAGTTATCCATATCCAGTTCCACCACCTCAATATGGATGTTGGTCCGGAACTCCAATGTATTATCCACCGGCTGGTTACCTGCCATACATGCCTGCGTACATGGCTCCAGCTTCCGCTCTCCCGAATTACCCGACCATGCCGACCGAGCCCGAGCTTCAGCCCGCTCCCCGGGCTAGGCGCTCGGCTCGCTTGAGGTTGGGGTCTCAGGGGCCAAGGTCATGGAGGAACCACGGTAGGAAATGTATAGTCAGGCGGCTGAAGAGGTCGAGTTAGAAGCCAATCGAGCGAGTACATTTGAGTGACTCCGACTAGCAATGAGGCAAAGGTTGGGACCGCAGGACCCAAATAGGCGCTCGGTTGATTCTCCCATGCGAGCAGCCAGTCAATCGGGGTCGTTAGGACATAGTGGGGCTCAAGCACATCGTCGTCGCCAGGCTCGGGAACCAGCCCGCACGGTCGAGCAAGACGAGACCCGAGGAATGTTAAACGATCTTCGAGCAGAATTCACTCGCTGGCAGAATGAGCATGCCTCAAGGCCTCCTCCCGATCATACCGCTTCATTATTGCGGACACACTTCACGGCGGAGATCATGGCTCAACCTTACCCGCTGGATTTGCGCATCCCTGGGAACAAAGAGTATAACGGCCGGACAGACTCGGAGGTACACATCAACACTTACTATAGCAATATGTTGATGATGGGAGTGACTGACGCCGTGATGTGCCGGACTTTCTACTCGACGTTTTCTGGTCGGGCGGCCGAGTGGTTTTGAACGTTGCAGCCGGGATCCATTTCTGATTTCGCCAGTTTGGCGACCAAGTTTACTCGGAAGTTTGTCACTTCCAAAGTTGTCCAGAGGCCTTACATGTACCTCGAGAAGGCTAAATAGTTGGAGGGAGAAAGTTTGACCAATTTCCTAGTCAAGTGGAAAGCGGCGGTCGGAGAGGTCGAGCCTATGGACGACCTAACAGCCATTCACATGCTGCATATTTCTCTCCGGGCGGGTTATTTGTATCGGGATTTTATACTCCACCCGCCTATCACTTATGAGGAAGCACTTCGTAGAGTGACGGATTATGCCAATGCTGGAGAAGAAAATGCCGTAAAACGCTCCCAGGAGGTCGGATCTTCCCGGAAAGCTTCCGCTCGGTCAAACCATCGGTCGGCTGAAGACCATCCCCGACCACGAGCACGGCGTTAAACCGATCGGCTGCGGAAGCCATGCAATATGCTCAGTCCTGCAACCTTATTCGTCTACCTCATCCGGGACCGGATGGGCCAGATAAGTCGAAACATTGTGCTTATCATCGGTGTGCTGAGCATGACACGGAGGATTGCACCCATCTGAAACAATTGTTGGAAGACTTGCTCCAATTAGGGAAGTTGGATAAGTGTGTGGGGAAGAGAGAAGAGAGTAAAAAACCATCTGACAGGAAGGATCACAGACGCTCCCATCGCCCTGATCGATCAAACCAAGACCGGAGAGATCAAGGTCGGCGAGATCCCGATCCACCTTCGAGTGGTTGGCAAACCTCAAAGCCGACCATTCATGTTATATTCGGGGGCTTGGAAGACGCTTCCCAAGCTCGAAACCCTTGCCCGGTCGCGATTGTCGACTCCCAGGAAACTGGTAAGAGGCAAAAGATGGAGCCGATCACCTTTTCTTTGGAAGATCAACCCGAGAGTGGAGACACCGGGATGGAGGCGCTTGTTGTTACGATCGACATCATGGGAGTCGACGTACAAAGGGTGATGGTAGACACCGGGAGCAGTGTTAATGTCCTTTATTTGGACGTTTTTGAGAAGCTAAAACTTGACCGCCGGGAGCTGATTCCGGTCGGTGTACCCCTATCAGGATTCACCGGGGCTACCATTCGTCTTGAAGGGAAAATCGTCCCCCCGGTCGAGCCAAGGACTCCGCCCAAGTCAGTCAAGACCGAGATGGAATTTGTGGTCGTGAATCTTCATTGCGTCCACAATGTGATCCTAGGCCGCCCGGCCATTATATCTATGCATCACCTGTGCATGAAGTTTCCCACCCCGGCTGGGGTCGGAGTTCTACGCGGTGACGTTCAGTCGACCAGGAAATGCTATACCCGAGCGGTTAGTCGGCGTGAAAGACCGGAAAGAATAGCCAGAGCCATCTGAAGAGATAGAGGAGGCTCCTTTGTCGGAAGGTCGGCCGGAGAGAAAAATAAAGATCGGTCAGGCTCTCACCCCTGAACTGCGATTGGAAGTGTTAGCAATCCTCTGGGAATTTGCCGATATATTTGCATGGGGGCCTGAGGATATGCCCGGAATTGATCGAACAGTGATTTGTCATTGGTTGGCCGTAGACCCTGTTGCTAAACCGATCGTTCAAAAGACTTGGCATTTATCATCCGATCGCCGCGAGTTTGTTCGTGAGGAAGTAAAGAAAATGGCCGCAATCAGTCACATCCGCCCGGTCACTTATCCCGAATGGGTGGCGAACATTGTGCTCGTCCCAGAGCCTCCATCCTGGAGGATGTGCATTGATTTCACTGACTTGAACAAGGCATGCCCGTTGGATCCTTACCCGTTGCCGAGCATCCATCAGATGGCTGATGAGATGGCCGGGGCCGAGTTGATGAGCTTCTGGACGCTTTCAAAGGTTATCATCAGATTATGATGAGCCATGAAGATGAGAGCAAAACGGCGTTTGTCACGCCTGATGGTTTATATTGCTACCGGGTCATGCCGTTCGGTCTACGCAATGCAGGAGCAACATATCAACGCATGGTCAACATGCTCTTTGAGGACCTGCTAGGCCGGACGATGGAAGCTTACATTGATGATATACTGGTGAAGAGTCGAGACCGAGCGGACCATACTCGGGACCTCCGACAGTGTTTTCAGATCATGCGGACATACCAGCTTCGTTTGAACCCGACCAAATGTACATTTGTTGTGCAGACCGAGAAGTTTCTCGGCTTTATAATGACGAAGAGGGGGATTGAGCTAAATCCTGCCAAAGTTAAAGCAATCGTCGACATGGAACCACCCACAACCGTTCGGGAAGTCCAGCAATTGACCGGGAGATTGGCAGCCTTAAGCAGATTCCTCTCGAAATTGGCTGAGCGCGCTTTACCGTTCTTTAAAGTGCTCCGAAAGGTCAATGGGTTTGTGTGGGATGAGGAGTGTCGTCTGGCTTTTGATGAGCTGAAAGAGTATTTGATGTCCCTGATCGTGCTGTCTAAGCCCGAACCCGGGAAGTGCTTGATGTCTATTTGGCTGTGTCCAATCGAGCTGTAAGCGCGGTGCTGTGCCGGACAGATATAGAGGGGGTGCAGCGACCGGTGTACTATGTGAGCCACGCTCTCCACGGTCCCGAGCTTCGTTACTCCCAATTGGAAAAGGTTATCTATGCCTTATACAGAGCGGCGAAGAAGTTGGTTCCCTACTTCCAAGGACGAGCTATACGTGTTCTGACAGACTAGCCGATCGGTGCAGTCCTCCGCACCGCTTCATCATCCGGGCGCTTAGTCAAATGGGCATTAATGTTGACACAATATGCGATAGACTACCGACCACGCCCTGCGATCAAAGGCCAGGCTTTGGCCGATTTTTTAGTTGTGTGCACCGCTCGGGATACCCAACCTCCAATTAAAGAAGATCCTGAGGCCGCTTGGTGGTCGTTGGCTACTGATGGTTCAAGTAGCAAGAAGGGAGCGGGCGGAGGAGTTGTGATCACGAGCCCGGAAGGATTTAAAGTGTATTATGCCTTGATGTATCAGTTTTCCCCGACCAATAATGAGGCAGAGTATGAAGCTTTTGTCAATGGATTACAGTGCGCTCGGGATTTGGGGGCTGAGTACATCGAGGCACAGACCGACTCAGCGTTGGTGGTCGGGCAAGTCCTTGGGGATTACGAGGTCAATGGAGAACGGCTACAAGCTTATCACGACTTGGCCATGGAGAAGCTGAATTTTTTCCGGGCATACACTATCCGTCATGTTCCCCGACAGGATAATGCTGATGCAGACATCCTGTCGAAGTTAGCACAAGACGCACCCGAGCATATGTCAAAAATTGCCCGAATTTTGGTGATCCCGAAGCATAGTATTCACCGCCTACTGGTCGCACCTATCAACCGGTTGAGGAGACATGAATTTCCGATTTAATGGAGTATCTGCAACATGACCGTTTACCATATGATCCACAACGAGCTCGAAAGGCAAAGTTGAGGGCACCAAGATTTCAGGTGCAAGATGGCCGGTTGTATAGGTGGTCGTATGGGGGGTCCTTTGCAGAGATGTTGGAATTCCTTTGAAGCTGACTTAGTTATGAATGAGTTGCACTCAGGCATATGCTCGTCACACCAAGGAGGCCGATCGCTTGCCCGGCGTATCATGGTGATCGGGTATTACTGGCCGTCCATCCAGCTAGATTGTGAAAAGCTTGCTAAGAGTTGTGAAACATGCCAGTTGTACGCCCGGATGCCTGGTCGTCCGGCAACCTTCTATCAGCCGGTTATGACCGCCATCCCGTTCGCTCGTTGGGGGGGGGGGGGGGGGTGGATATTTTGGGGCCTTTTCCACAGTTGTCCGGGCGACGGCGTTTTGTCATTGTGGCGATTGATTATTTCTCTAAATGGATTGAAACCGAACCCTTGGTCACGATCACTTCTCAGCAATGTGCCAGATTCTTGTGGCGGAATGTTATCTCACGGTTCGGTGTCCCCGTTCACTTGATAAGTGATAACGGTCGACAATTTATCAGCCAATATTTTCAGAATTTCTTGGCAACGATCGGGACAACCTCAATCCGATCGTCGGTAGCTTACCCGCAGGGCAACGGCCAAGTCGAGAATGCTAACCGAACTATCTTGAAAGGTCTGAAGAAGAAGTTGCACTTGGCTGGTCGTAGATGGGCCAAAGAACTCCCATATGTGCTTTGGACATACCGCACGACCCCTAGAGAGGCAACGTTGAAAACACCGTTCGCCCTCGTTTATGGTGCTGAAGCGCGTTTACCAATCGAAGCATGGATCCCGACCGCTAGAGAACGATCGTTCAATGCGGAAGAGAATGAACATTCTATGGCCGTGGATCTAGATGGTGTGGAAGAAAAGAGGGAGATTGCGGCGAGACGCATGGCCGAGTATCAAAAGAGGGTGAAGAGCACTAAAGACGTACGGGTTCACCCGAGATATTTCCAAGTTGGGGATTACGTTCTACGACGACGAGAGGCAAGTCGACCTTTGGAAGGGGGCATGCTAGCTCAGAATTGGGAGGGACCATACGTAGTCACAGCGGTCGTTCGCCCGGGCACTTACCGGTTGGAAACAACGACCGGGCGAGTGATCGAGGGTACCTGGAATTCTGAGAATCTGGTTTTATTTCGACATTAATGTCGTCTTGTAACTTCGGATGGGGTGGGGGCTCCACCTGCGAGTGGACACGCTCATCTTTTGTTGTACAATGTGTATTACTATGTCCGTCTGCGAACGGGAATAAATTTGTAATGTCGATCGATGATTGGTCGCTCGTCTGTGCACGGCGGCTCGACCGACTACCAATATATGTAAATAGCAAATAGTTTGGTTAAATTCCAAGTTATTCGGATCGTGACTTCATCTGATCAAGATTCAGCATCAACGATCCAGTTGGGCGAAAGCCCAACGACCACAATGTCGCTAAAACTTGCCCGAGTATACCGGGATTAAAAAATTCGGTTATAGCCGATATAGGTTCACCTCTGCCTCGGGACCGACCGATAGGGGTAAAAGCCTTATGGATTTTAACATCCTCTACATTTCATTCGGGCGGATTCTAGCGTCCGGAGTAAAACGCTCATCATCGGCGAACGGTCGTGTCATGCCATCGCTCGGGAGAACAGGCCACCCGGGAGAGCATAGCCCGATCAACCTTCCTTAACTACTCTCGCACTGATTCGTTCCTCATGTCTTCGACAGTGGGGGCTAAGGAGAGTTATTAGGTTGATCATAAAAATCAAATTAATTAGGTTGATCGTAAAGATCAAATTAAAAACATTCATATCGGACGAAGTATAAGAGAAGCAAAAAAGTTCGTTCATTCATAATTTAAAAGTTGCCTGGCACAAACGGGACCGGGCTCCTGATCAAATGAAGTTCAACAAAAAAGAGATATACAAGACTGGTCGGAATCTACACGACCTTTCCTACGTCCTTCTCGCCGGCGTTCACACTGGTCTCGGCTGGGGCGTCCGTGGCAGATGTTTCAGTGGACGGCATCAGGCCGGGGTCGGGAACCTCGTCCAAGAGAGTGGTCAACACGGCCTTTAGGTTGTCACCATCGAAGACCTCCTCCATGATGGACCGGGTTTCCTCCTGCATGGCTCGTTGGCCGGATTTGTAAGCCCAGTGGCCAAACGACCACACCTTCTCTTCCCCGAGCTTATTCTTCATTAGCGCTCGGAAGAATTTGTCAGCTGAGGGCTCGTCGCGGCAAAGAAACTTTGCCAATCCTTCTAAATTACCTAACCAGGTCTTTAGCTCTCCAGCCTCCTTCAGCGCAACCCGGGCGGCCTTCTCTGCGGTCGCCTGGGCCTCCTTGGCCGCCTTCAGCTCTTCTTGGAGCTCGGCGTTCTCGGTCTTACGCCGCTCGACGACTTTCTTTATAGCTTCGGCCTCATTGGCCAGTAGCGCCCGGTATTGGAGGCTCTGGATCGCTCGGGAGACGTGCAAAGTTAGCCGGTTAGCTCGAGTGAATAAAGTTGTAGAAATAAAACCAAAGGAAATAAAAAGACAAACCTCGATCAGGTCTTGGGCACCACGCTCGGCTATCTGCGTCGGCGTCCACTTGCTTCTGTCTTCCCCGACCGGCCGTAGATTGGTCAGTCGGGTGATGAGATCTTGGTCCCCGGTCGGAGGGCCTTGCTTGCGATGGCGCTTAAGGGCGCCCGCCTCTTCGACCTCCTTCTTAGACGCCGGCTCTTTGCCTTTGCGCCCGGCCACTCGAGGGGCCAGTACATCGGTTGTGGTGTCGCTCGTCACCACGGTAGATGCACCGACCGGTTGGGCGGTCGGGACGTCAGCATCAGCGACCTTCTGCTCGGCCGATGCCTCGGCCTCAGATTTCTTTTTTCCGAGCGTTAGCTTAGCTCGGTGGGCTCTCAGGGTGCTGGTAGTCGGAAATCGACTCATC